TGCTTGTTCATAATACCTAACACATTATTATAGTCTTATTTTAAATTGTTATCATGAATGATAAATGTTTTCTTGCCTCACAACAATGGTTAGGAGTACGCACGACGGTGCAAACAGTTGAATTTCAGTTGAACTTCACATTTTTATGTATTTCTGAAATGGCACAACCCCAAAGGAATAAATTCATCATCCAACCACCACTATTCCAGCGAGAAATCACTTCTATAAACATATAAAACATCCTCTGATTTTAAGTTTACCAGTAGTCCCATCCAGAAGGCCAAGCAACTTTCAGGCATCTAGTTGAGTCATGCAACACAACATTCAAAAAGCTCCAAAACCGGCTCTGATGCAGACTAGCCACAGTATTGTCTTCTCTTGTATACACACACACACACACACACACACACACACACACACACTATACACACACACGCAAACACACACACACTCATACACATCTGTGTTAATATATTATATTATTATAAATATGTCCCCTGATCTGAATCAAATGAAACATATGCTGAATTCTGAAGAGACGTCAAGTTGAGCATCTCTGAGTAACTCTAAGGGAAGGTCACTTTAGTAGAATGGAAAAGGTAGATGTTGCAAAATAAAGCCACCTTGTTCATTCCATACCTACAAGTCTTGCTGCTGTCATTAAAGATCACGGAGGCCATACAAACTAGTTGTTGATGTGGGACTCGTTTTTGCATCACCCTATTTTAAGCAGAACTAAAAAAAATAGTAATTGGAGTTATTTTGTTAACTTTACTATCATGTCATGAGTTAAGAAGATATAACGTTAAACTTAGTCTTGTCAACATTTGGGAAATTGTTTTCTTTTCATTGAGATATTGTTTAAAATGTTGCTTTTCAGTAGGACTGTATGAATATATAATATTTTTACTCATATTTAACAAAATTCATTTTGTGTAACGTTAGTTTTCCATGCTGTTGTTCTATTGACATTTTCATTCCAAAATGTTCGCCACGTGACATTAGTGGCATCTAGTGGCCGTTACCCAGACTGCACTAGACTGTCGCCTCTTGGTGATTCTGTTCTCTTTGATGTGATCAAACAAAACATCTAAACGAGAGCTTCATTCACTGCTCTTTAATCAGGATGTGTCAGTTATACAGTGAAGAAAAGGTTCATGAGATTTGATGAGTTGATTCTATTTTTTCATCATAGCTGTTAATTTGAAGAGGCTACACTGTTTGCTAATTTATTTGCAGCTTTTTCTAATGTATACTATTTTGTAAATAATAATAATAATACATACTGTTTCTTTACAAGGAAATGGGTCTAGATGAACATATTTAGTCATTTGTGTTTGGGGGTGGTGGGGATGTGCCATATCCCTTATTTTCACATCCCGATGTTGACAGGTATGCACATCAGTGATTCAGCATCTACATTTAATCATGTTCAGGAGCGTTAATATGTGTTTATTAGATGATAAAGCTCAGCATTGTGCTGGAGTGCAGTGAGTGCACTATTCTGTGCTTCTGAATGGCTGTGTTTACATCTCTGTCCTGTTTCGTCTGTTGCAAACAACCAAACTGCTCATCACTGCGTATCTCATCATGTAGCATGTTGTTGGGACACGGGGTTACAATGTGACCTGCTCACCTAATGTTTACACTCCTAATATTTATAATATGGGCTAATCATAACCACCTCATGTGGAACTCTGAATCTGCGTCTCATTTCAGAGTCTGCTGCTGTCCACCAGAGATCACATTTCAGTCACAGACGCATGTTTAGAGAGTCTTCCTGACCGACTGAATGATATGAAATACGCTGTTTTCCACTATCTGGCAACCCGGCTGCTGAAATATAATTGGCTTAACTGGCATTGAGCAGGTTAAAGAGGCCAAAACAAAGACAGACCCATGTAACGCACAGCAGAATCTCTGACTTCACTGAGCATGTTTCTGAATATCTGCATGCATGTATTAATGTCATGTTATAGTATGCAAACGCTTCATTCTGCAGGTCTAGAGTATGCTGCATTTACTGTAGTGTAGTGTGTGTAATGCGGTGTGTGTGTGTGTGTGTGTGTGTGTGTTTCAGATCTGGGCATGCAGCTGAATCAGGGGAAGTTCGAGTATAATGGCGCGTGCGGGTGAGTGTGTGTTTCCATTAGATGCAGCGTCACATCGCATTATCTGCAGCCCGCGGCGGCATCCACTACACACACACACACACACACTCACATTACACTAATGACGCTCGCTAAACATCACACACACTTTCTCCAGCAGAGATCCAGCCGGAGGACACACACTCCACTGAGATTACCAGCCCACGAGCGTCAATATCACAGAGCCTTAATGTCCTGTGTGAGAGAGAGAATGAGTGTGTGTGTGTGTGTGTGCGTGTGTGTGCGTGTGTGTGATGGGGAATGTGTAATGGAAAGCTCGGATCATTAATCTTCTTTAGAACAATTAATCAGAAATAATGAATACCTGTCCTGAAGGCAGAGCGCAGTGCTGTGTGTGTGTGTGTGTGTGTGTTGTGTGTGTGTGTGTGTGTGTGTGTGTGTGTGTGTGTGTGTGTGTGTGTGTGTGTGTGTGTGTGTGTGTGCGTGTGTGTGTGTGTGTGTGTGTGTGTGTGTGTGTGTGTGTGTGTGTGTGTGTGTGTGTGTGTGTGTGTGTGTGTGTGTGTGTGTGAAACTGTGCTCACTCATGCGTCTCCTGCAGGTATTTGCTGAAGCCAGATTTCATGCGGCGTGGGGACCGAATGTTCGACCCTTCTCTGAGACGCCGGTGGACGGAGTGATCGCAGCAACCTGCAGCGTACAGGTGACACACAACACACATTATTATCTCACAATCACCTGCTGGATCATGCTTTTTTCCCTCCTCCGACACTCCCCCCTAAACAGAGCTGGACACGCCCACTTTCCTGACTTTTCCTGAAGTAGAGGTGTGAATACACCCTGCTGAAACAGGGGGTTTCATGACCCTTTAAGTCAGAACTCTGGCTGGGCCACTGCAAAACAATCATGTTTTACCACCTTATCATGTTTTGGATCATGGTCATGCTTGAAATATCTATATTAGTAGTTAGCACTGTCATCTCACAGTAAAAAGGTTGCTGGTTTGAGTCCCAGCTGTGGAGTTTGCATGCTCTCCTCGTGTTGCTGTAGGTTTCCTCCGGGTGCTCCAGTTTCCCCCACAGTCCAAACACATGCGCTATAGGGGAACTGATCAACTAAATTGGTGGTAGTGTAAGTGTGTGTGAATGAGTGTGTATGGTAAGGTTGTGCAGTTTACTGGTACTTTAGTATCTCCAAAATACTGGTGGTGCCACTGTAGTTTGTAAACGGTAGTATCGTCATTAAGGATATACAGAATATCTGTACAAATAAGTACATGTAGGTGCTCAATAATAGGGGAATTATGGGTGAAATTTAAGTATTATAATGTATAGAGTAAAGCATTTGTGACAATTTGCTTTATTTTGTAGATTTGAGTTATGTAGCGAGGCAGAGGGAAAACACAAACACCGTAGATAATGTTACAAACAATGCCCCGGAGGGTGCCTTTATTTACAAGTGATATTGGGGTGAAAGGGTGCTCTTCTTAAAGGTGCGTGCTCAAGTGCTCCGGGGAGATGGTGAAGGCTGGTGAGATGTAGAGTGTTGGATCGGTCACGAGCTGGACTCGGCTGTGGGAGAGACAGAGAGAGACAAGCGTTAGCGCAGGGAGTCATGTCAAATGAAGCTCACTTCCTTCTGTGTGGGGCTGGCTTATATCTCTCCCTGGCTGATGAGGTCCAGCTGTGAGCGATCCGAGGTTGATGAGAGATCCAGCTGGTGTGGATTTGTGCCCAGGGCGACGTGGTATTACATGGCTCGCTACATTCCCCCCCCCTTAGCGTCGTCCTGGTCCTGGGTGTCCTGCGAAGGAAGAGCAGTGTATTGAGAGGGGGGGTAGAATGTTTCGACAGACCTGCCCATCCTGACCAGAGCCGTGAGAGTCCGTCTGCGTTTCCGTGGGAGGCCCCGGCTCGATGTTGTACGTCGAAGTTGAAATCCTGGAGCGACAGGAACCACCTGGTGACCCGAGCGTTGTTGTTCTTCGCTGTCGCCATCCATTGTAGCGGGGCGTGGTCGGTCACCAGAGTGAATTTCCTGCCAAGGAGATAGTATCTTAGCTCCAGGATTGCCCACTTGATCGCCAGGGCCTCCTTCTCCACCGTTGCATAGCGGGTCTCTGCGGGGGTCAGCTTCCGACTCACGTACATTATGGGATGTTCTTCATCGCCGTGGACCTGGGAGAGGACCGCGCCCAGGCCCGAGTCGGAAGCATCCGTCTGTAGAATGAAGGGGCAGCCGAAGTCAGGTGCGTGCAGTACCGGTGAGGACGTGAGGGACTTCTTTAGGGCTCGGAACGCATCGTCGGCTTCCTTGGTCCATCTTATCCTCTCCGGCTGCCCCTTTCTGGTCAGGTCTGTCAAAGGGCTGGCTATGGATGAGAAGTTAGGTATGAAACATCTATAGTAGCCCGCTAACCCCAGAAATGCACGTACCTGGGTCTTTGTGGTGGGTTGTGGAGTTTCCTGTAGTGCCTTGACCTTGTTTTGCTGTGGCTGTATGAGACCTCGTCCAATGTGGAACCCGAGGTATCTGGCTTCGGCTAGACCCAGGTGGCATTTCTTGGGATTAGCTGTGAGCCCAGCCCGTCGAAGATCTAAGAGCACCCTCCGTAACCGGGATAGGTGTTCTTCCCATGACTCTGAGTGGACGATGAGGTCGTCCAGGTAGGCTGCTGCATATGGCTGGTGGGGCCTCAGCAGGATGTCCATCATTCTTTGGAATGTGGCTGGGGCCCCGTGGAGCCCGAAGGGAAGAACCCGGTATTGCCAGTGCCCACCGGGTGTGGAGAAGGCGGTTTTCTCCTTGGCGTCTTCACTGAGTGGTAACTGCCAGTAGCCTTTGGTGAGGTCGATGGTTGAGATAA